GGATGGATGGATGGATGGAGGGATGGATGGATGGATGGATGGGCGGGAGGCGTGCTGCTCCCCCTTTAAGGGAAGTCCTCCACATCCCTGCATCTATACTTTTCTTATATTCTTTTTTTAATTGCTGGATGCTTTTACATTGTTTAATGTTTTCACTCTAACGCTAACTGATAAACTAAAGCTTCTTTTTGTTGTTCGAACACACTTAGTTTTGAAATTTAATTTTCCTCTTAGATTATTTTTTCCATCTCTATCATAAAACACTTGTTGTATGCGCGCAGGAAGTAAGTTATTTCTTGCTTTATAAAGAATTTGAGCAGTTCTGAAATCGATCAGATCTACAAATTTAAGAACTCTTGAATCGAGGAACAAACAGTGAGTGTGATCTCTATAACGTTTGTTATTCGTTACTCGTATTGCTTTCTTTTGCATAATAATCAATGGTTGAATGTTTGTTTTTGTAAGTGTGACCCCACACTTGAACACAATAGGTTAGCTAGGGCTGAAACAATGAGCGGTATAATGTGTGTAAAGCTTGTTTGGTTAGAAGGTGCTTAGTATGGATAAAGGAAAATAAAAGGCCACTGTTTCTTATCAGCAGCAGACTAAGAGATTCTGATTTACTCCTCAGTCCTCAAGGAAGTCCCATGGAGAATCTCCAAAAGGAAAAAAGCTATGCTTATTCTCAGGAGTCAGGAAGGGCCCCATGTGGACGGACCAACAGGAGAATCTTCTCAGGAGAAGAGTGAGGATGACACAAAGGGAAAGTCAAACAATTCCAATGATAAACACAGAAATGGGAGAGTCTTCCTTGAAGGGATTAAGGAAATTGTCGCATTTCCTACTGGTGCTAAAACCACAATCTCCAGACATGAGAAACCACTCTCCCTAAAGGAATTAACAACCAGGTATCCTTAACCCTTTAAAGCCTGATCCAAGAAAAATAGGAAGAAAATTTGATTTTTTTAGTCTGAAGTCTTTCTTTGGCCCCTCAACAACATATGAAGAAAAAAAAACAGAAATTATTTTGATCAAATTTGCGTGCAATAAGTCAAAAATATATGTTGGTGTAGTCTTCTACTGGCTGTTATCAGGTATATTTGAATGTGTACAACAGGGGTTTGAGCAAAGCTTTTACCACTGAATGATGCAAAAAGTCTCAGATCCAAAAGACTATAGAAACCATATCTATTAAATATGACACATTTGGCATTATAGGGTTAAATTGTGAGTGAAATTTAAAATAAAAAAAACAGACTGTGGGATATTAGAGGAAACAGAATGAGGATGTATGCCTGATTTTCTCATTCCGGGGTTTCCCTTTTTCGGGAGAGGCGAGGTGGGGCTCACCTCAAGCGATTCCTAAAGAGGGCTGAGTTAAAGGGAGGAGGAGGAGGGGGGAGGAAAAGGGGGGGGGAGGGGGGGGGGGGGGGGCAGACAGTCGGGATGGGATTTCTCATTACTCCCGCTGAACGCCGCTCCTCAGTCCCTGCCCTGTAATTTCTGCCCTCCCTTTCTCTGCCGGAGACACCGGCTGAATGCAGAAAACAGCAAACCCCCCTCACACACACACACACACACACACACACACACACACACACACACAC